TTCCATATAATGTTTCAGTCTGTTTAACAGTCCTATCGAGGTCACCTTAATAGAGGAGAACAGTGGTGAGCTCAATATATCCCGGAGGTGCAAGCTTGTTTCTGCAAGCCTTGGTAGATGTCGGTCGTCTGTACCAGGATGAACATGAAGAAGTTCCCATCTCGGGAGAAATTCCGGGGTCTTCTTGGAAGCGTTTTTTGCATTGTTTGATGAAGACCTGTGAAGACTTGGGCTGTGAGGTTCCACGGTGTCCAACATGTTCCAAAATGTTCGGTTCGCGGCTGGCCCTGCCAGCCTGTAGTCCTACAAAAATATAGATCGGCATCTTCTGATCCTAGTAACAAGAAGCTACTAGGGGCTCCTGGCATCGCTACGAACGGAGCAAGGACGCTCCGAACGGGGCTCCTGGCCGTACTACGAACGGAGCAAGTAGCTACTAGTAATTAACAGAGACATCCAAGTTGCTCGCATCAGGCCAGACCATGTGGGTGCAGCTCCTGGTCTGGAAGGATGATCGGGAATCCGTATTTGTTGCTAGTAGCTTCTTGTTCGTAGTAGTAATGCCCTTGTTCCGAGTAGCGATGCCCTTGTTACTAGTAGCTACTTGCTCCTAGTAATACGGCCAGGAGCCCCTAGGAGCGTCCTTGCTCCTAGTAGCGATGCCCTTTGCTCCTAGGAGCGTCCTTTGCTACTAGGATCCGTCCTATCAATCAGTGTTTTTTTTTGCGTCATCAGATTGTTTTTTTTCTATCTAGATGTTGCATCTAGATGTTGTTAGATGTCACTTGGACCTAGGAGAACGGCCAAAAAGAAGAGCATTAAACCAGTCAGACTCATTCGACGTGTCAATTCAGAATCGCCAGAGAACTATGGATGTCGCTTTGATCCGTGGAACTTCCCTTTCCCAAACACCCTGGTGTTCATCGTAAGCGCTTGTCACTTGATCTCTCAACTTCAGGATCTTCTCACTTCCAAATCAAAACACGACATGTCTTCTTAGGAACAAGACGCTACAAGGGGCTCCTGGCCTTACTACTAGGAGCAAGGACGCTACTAGGATTCAAGGAAATTCACTCCGCACCTCCCGCCCGCGCTCCTCCTCTGCTCCACGGACCCCACGGAGCGCAGATCCGCGCCCGGAGCGCGCAGATCCGCGCAGATCCGCGCCGCGCCGCGCACGGCGAAGCGCCGCTGGAGCGCGGCGGCGGCGTGCACTTTGGCGCGGATCTGTGCGGTTTGAGGAAGGCCTTAAGAGGACCACCTACGGTCGAAAGGAAGGCCAAGGCGACCCAGCGCTTTGAGGAAAGAGTGGGGGGGTTGGTCAGTGGACAAAAGAATGTGAATGATGTGAGGTATAAGATGATATAAATGATATATTATGAGGACTCTCGCATGAGGGTTTGAAGGGAATGAGATGAAATGATGGACATCTCCTGTTGAAGATCGATGCGTTGACTTGTTGGGGTCAACGGCTAGACTCTACAGGCAGTTCCACAAGCCTATATATAAGCCTGTGAAAGTCATCTTTACTGTAGAAAGGATTCTGATGCATGACAGCACTAGAGTCCTCAAGATTCTTCAAGGCATGATTGCGTCATATGTCGTCGGACTTTCAAGTGGAGCTGCCCATGACCAAAACGCCCACAGCAGCCGTTGCCAGGTGGCACGTGGACAGCAGCCGTTGCCGCTGTCCGTTCTTCTCAAAGAAGCTCACGGAGGCCACCGCGGAGGCGGTGGAAGGATGCAAAACGACGCCCGAACCGTCACCTGAGTGCGTCCACCGGGTGAGAACCCGAGAGTCATTCCGAATGCAATGAACTTATTCAGAGCTTTCAAAGTTTTAAAATGCATATATATGTTTTAAAGGAAAAATGCATGAACTACTAGTACGAGAGTCAAAGCTTTCTTTCTTTTTCCTTAATTGCCAGTAGCTTCTTGCTACTAGTAATGGCCTCCAACCTACTTGCGATGGCCTCCACCCTAGTCGCGGCAAAACAGGTGGATCCCTCGCCCGGGCGGGTGATTTCTGGAGTCGGGAGGGTGGGGGTTCACCCTCCCCCGATCGGGTCATTGTGATGTCCTGCGCCTATTTGAGAGCAGTCCGATCCAAAACACCTCGTCCCCGATCCGCCTTGTCCGATCCGTAATGTGTACCTGCCCCTCCTGTCATGTACATACTTCAAGCCCTGGATGTATATCAGAAACATGTTGCGACTCATGAGGAACAATCTTCATGGCTTGTTGCCAGTTTACCATATCACCATGCTCCTTCCTGTCTGCATGGCACGACCTCCATTTAAGGCTTTGCACATCTGCTTAGTATTGGGGTACAAGGGTATTTGTGGGCAAGTTCTCTAAACGCAAAGGGGATTGTAGAGTGGGGTGTAGCCCGAGTCAGAAGAACTTGCTCCCCTATCAAACACAAGTGCTGCTCGTTCCGTGAGATCCCTTCACTCAACTATATCTCATGTTCATCCATGTTCATCCATATTCATCCATTCTCCATCCCTCATTCTTGAAAACCATGGACTGCAGTATAGCAGTACAGTATAGTAATCCTGTTGGCAAACAGAAACGGGATAGTGAACTTCTGCAATCTTCATAGACATATATATATATATTCATACCACGTTTCAGTCATCTTCCCATCAGGTAATTAGGCGATCCTGTTTGAAACCTTTGAGGGCAACCACTGGCCAATACTAGCAGTCATGATTTCTCCTTAAGCCTTAAGACATATGAACTAGTGCAAACGCGAGTTCAAACCTTCATCAATACATCATCTACTATACCTAGATCTTCCAACTGTGCAAACTGTCTGCCTTTTCATCTATAAAACCAGCCAAAAAGGCGGAAATGGTGCATTCTGTAGTTGGAAAAGGGCGGAACATTTGCATAGTTGGAAGATCTACTCCCCCTCCAACAATCATGGAAGTGGACAATGGCCCCTTGGAAGACTATGTTCCTCTACCAGGAGGGGGGTTGTCGACTTCCATGATTGTGGGGGGGAGGGTGGGTTATATTGTTTGCATCTGTTGACCACACCGCCATCAACGAGCCACTGAAGGCCGCTTCCGTCCGCCCGCTTCGGTAGATCGCCGCACGCGACAGGCTCCATGGCATCGCTGCCCCGAAGTCTTCAATGACCAATGTTGACACCCAAATAGTTGGTTTAGCATGTTTAGCCTAAAAGTTTGGTGTATCTCAAACTGACGGGACTTCATCTCCAAGAAGTTTGCGTGCGATTCTTACTTCACTGCTACGGAGATGCGAAGATGTTCAGAGAATCGGATGTATGAGAAAACCTGCATCTGCCTGGCTCCACTTTCCAGACAACTGCTTCTCATCTTCGGTGTTTGCGTTGCAAGAACACTGGTCCGATGACGCGTTCAATGGTGAGAAACACCATGAAACACCTGTGCTCTCGGCTTCACATCGGAGATCTGAAGGTGTTCCTCCACCAGCTTTCCATACTTGAGACTCCCAAACGCTGCACCATGCCGAATAGATCTGCTCCAGCCCCGAATCAACCTATATAAGGTGGCATGCTGTCCTATCGCCTGCTCGAACATACAGCCAAAGGTGGCATGGGTCTTCAACGGTCCCAACGGTCCCCCAAGTCTCAGCAAAAAGCCGCCCTGCCCTCTGAGCCACTGGGCGGGTCCATGTGCAATTTCGTCACGAACCTGGAGGAGTTGTTGCGCTTCGTAAACACGAAAGACGCGAACCTGGAGGATTTGTCCGCAACACGACATGAAATGGTGGTTCCACAAAAGGACTCACCTGCAGTCAAAAAAAGGATGTGCTTCATACGATGCATGGGTCGCTGCCAAGGGTGGATGAAATGTTTCCACAATCCGACGCTGAAGACTCGATCGATTTAGGGAGAGGTCCAGTGGTTTTGAAACTGGTGGCCTGCAACCTAGAAGCAATGGCCTCCAACCTTAGAGCGATGGCCTCCAACCTGCTAGAGCTTTTAGGTGGCGCAACGAAATCATTGCAAAATCGATAAGTAAAGAATCTAAATTTGACCACCTCTCTCAAGAGCTGAAGTAGACCTCTTTGAGGACTAGGAACCATCAAAAACAACACAATACACTTTGATTGTGCTGAGCCCGAATAAAATATGTTTGAAAAGGAGCTGCAAGTACCTTGGATGACGTGCGTAATTAACTTGGAGAGGAGTCCCTTCATACGACTTTACACATATCAGCTGATGAGCTGATGGTACATTTCCAGAACAATAATGCAGGGGACAATGGTCACATGTCGATTGCCCCATCCTCCGCATGTCAATCGCTTAAAGAAAGCCCTGTAGTCAGCTTCATATCGCATGTGGTGGACATCTGCATGGATTGATGTGGGACTTGTAATCAGAGTTGGCAACTCACGCATATAAACGCATCCCAAACTCAGTTTCTTCTCATGGACACCTCCCAAAGCATCCCAAAAACCACCTACCTCCACAGTCAGGCCCGGGGAGGGCTGGGAGACCAGGCTGCTGGAAGTCGGGACTACTCAATCCTTGCCGGATATCCACCAAGTCATCCATCATGACACCTGCCCGGTGCAGCTTCGGTTGAGCCTTTAGTACTAGTGGCCTCCAACCTAAGAGCGATGGCCTCCAACCTAAGAGGGATGGCCTCCAACCTAAGAGGGATGGCCTCCAACCTACAGCTTTGGAAGGAGCAACAGGCTTGGTTAATTTATCAAGCGCATTTGGGGACACATTTCGTAGCTAGCAACCCTTCTTTCCCAAAGCATTTAAAGAGGGGTTGTTTACAGGGCCTAGCCTAGTGAAGAGGTCACAAAGCGGGCTTACTTAAAAAGAAGACATAGAACCATTCCGAGAATGGCAGAAGGGAACAAGAAAGCCTCAACAGCTGGAAAAATTCGCCCACACCGAAACCCTGCCAGGTCTTCCTCTCCGAAGCTGCCAGGTCTTCGTCCCGGTTCCGCCGAAGCAAACGCAGCCGCCGCAACGAAGACCCTGTTCTTTTCGTCTCTCGAGCGATGAGTGTGCTGACGAATTCAGGGAAGGGAAGGAAACCTCTGTATACAAACCTTCTTTCCAAAAATGGTCTGTAGAAGCACAGTGAGCAGTGACCAAAGCCCGGAAAAGCTCAATCTTGGCCTTCATGCCCTGATGTGATTCTGAATGGAGACCTTTCACACCGGGCCCGGCCGCTACTCAGCTGCTCGCATTCATGGCATTCGCATGCAGGTGAAGCCCGCCAAAGCTTTGCTGGCCTTGGATTTGCTGATCAAAAGAGCAAGCAAGCGTCACTCCGGCTGGCGGAACCTTACAGTGCCTGTACACCCCCACATGTGGAGACCCCCCTTGCGGTTTGTCGTCCTTGCCGAATGTTCCCTCTGCAAAGAGTGAACTGTCCAACACATTCGTCGGTTCTCGTCGGTTTCACCTTCAGTTTGCGACACCTTCTCAGGCCCTAATCATCAGATTGATCCACCACAAGGGATCCTGTTCGAAAGCACACGGCGGATCGTTTTGAGGCATAATGCATCACTTTGTTGCCATCTGTTCCGGTTTTCAACCTGGTTAAAAACCTTGTGTCTGGACGGGACGGAACGTGTCAACGCCCAATGGCTCCAATGCCACCCGCACGAAGCCACACTTCACAGCGACCAGCCGAGAACTCGATGCCTTTGCACCTGACGCATGTGACGTCGTCGAACGTCGAACGTCGAACGTCGGGGCGAAGCGTCCGATCGCAACCCCTTCGGTTCGTAGTGCCAGGGGTCGCCCCGAAGGTTCGTGGCGTCCGGTTCCGATTTGGCCAGATTTGGAGGACAGAAAGAAAAGAGGGCAGGGAAGCTCTTCTGACTCCGGTGTCCACCTGTGATTTGACTCAAGTGTCTCGGAACCAAAACGTTCCAAAACGTTCAAGCTCAACAGCCCATGGCACCCATCTTCTGTGGCACAAAGTGCTCGGCAGGCGTCCAATGAAGTCCTCAGTGCTCGGCAGGCCGCAGGAGAACGATCGCCGTTCATCCCAAATGGTTTGGTTCTTCTCCGAGCTCCATTGGGTTTGCTGCTTGGAGAACGGACCATCATGGAACCGTGGTAGACCAACAGCCAACGACTTCATGAATCATATTTAGCTGAAAGAAAAAGAACTACACAGCCTACTCGTGTCTCTATGTAAAATGCTACATGTTCACTACAAAGTGAATGGCTCCGCATGGAGCTGGGCTGTCGGATTGTACCGTTTCAGTCACCGTTGAGTCCAACTCAGCTCTGTGGTGACGTGTGGACGCGGACGTCACACACCTCAGGCTGCGTCGACGTCTTCTCAAAGACATCTGCCTAGGATCGGACCACTGTACTTCCTGTAGTAGGAGGGCGAATTGTCGGTTTCATTGGCCCCACGACACGCGCGGTCCGCGCCGCCATCCACCGCTTGCAAAGAGGGCAAATTGTATCGGTAGCAGGAGAAACCCGAAAGCTCCTGGAATCACAGTCACGACAAATGAAACTCTTTCCCGTTAGAATCCTGCAGGGGATCACAGTGGAATGCCGGCGGATTAGTTTCCACCCAAAAGGCCCAAAAGAACATATCTATATATTTTTAGTTCGGGGTGGAAACTAATCCGCCGGAACTCCATTGGGAAAGAGAAGTAATGTCAATGACATTCTCGAGTCAAGTTGTCACAAGGAGTTTGGAAGCTCCTTCCCCTCGTCTCCGAACACTCCCAACACTGGACACTTTGAGAGCTGTATCTAGTGGAAACATGTTTCTGATAGCTAACATCCATGTTACATGGTCCATGTTACTAGTCAAGTCGTTTCTTTTCGCTCCTTGGTTGCTCCAATGGGAGTCGTCCAAATCTCGCAACGGCCTTGCGAGTACTCCACGCCAGTGCATCCTGAACGAGGCGTGTTCGATCCGGAACGATTCTGCGGATCAACGAGCTGAAAAGTAGCGATGCACTTGTTACTACTAGTAAGGCACCTGTTACTACTAGCGATGCACTTGTTACTATCTCATAAAAAAACATAACAGCCAATCGAACTGATTTTTTTCTTTCAGGAATAGCAACATCTTGGAGGAAGCCTCAGAACAACCATTCCAGGAACCTGCTGGAGCGAAGCTGTTCGAGAATACTGCCAAATTTGGGGCACAATCTCAGGACCTCTATAAACCATGGCAGTGTCTTGTTCACCTCAAATGTTCGCATATGATAGATAGGCCACAGTACCAACCAGTTGCTTCTGGTTGGGACTGGGTTTCCAGGTGGGAAAAGAAAAAATAGAGCGCTTCCGAGCACACGTCCAGCATCCGGAGAACTTGGAGCACTCTTGTTGGCAGCCATCGAGGGACTCAACGTCCCCCTGAACCTGAGATGCAGTGCTCGGAAAAAAAAGCTTTCTGAAGGGCTTTTCCTGAGGGTAGGTCAACCAACCAACTTGTTTCTGGTTGGGACCGGTTTCAGCGCCTTCTCCAAACACGTCGTAAACACGTAAACACGTGGTTTTCCCAAAAACTCAGAACCCGTAGTCGTTAAACTACGGGTTTGACGGGTTTCCAGATCCATAGGTTCGCACTTTCGGCTGGCAAAAAAGATCTTTCACAGACTCTCACTCTCCAGGTCCCTCCATATCCATCACTCCGGGTTGGCTATTTTGACCCACATCAGCAAGTTCCAACGAACCAAACACACACAGAACAGAAAACAACATGTGGACAAAGAAAAACACGGTTATTTTTTTTGTAAGCACAATCACTGCGACCGTCCAGCACCCGGTTTTAGCATGAACAAACGTCCAAGGTCCATGTTCTCCGCTCCAAAGCACCCGGTAGAAGCTCTCAGAGTTGTGTCCCGCATAGTTCCGACAGGCTCGGTTCAGCCCTCCGTCGGCCGCGCGGAAGAGGGACCTGCTCGTGGACGTTGACGTGGCACCTGCAGCCGGACCGGTCTTCGGCATGGTGACGGTCCGGCATGGTGACCGTTCGGTCGAAGAAATGGTCGCGAAGTCGAAGAACATGCGCCATGCAGGGCCCATCAGGGCCCCATATTCACATCCATTGACCAAATCGTTTACTCAAAAGGTAGGGCCCAAAATCAGCTCGTTATAAGAACTTCGGACAAAAGACGGGTCGTCTCAGTGATGGTGGACGTCATCGTCGTCGACTCTGTAGTTGTTACAGATGTCCTTGACTGACTGAAGATTGGTCCTCAGCTGCGCAGTGAGGGGAATGATTAGCACTTCTTTGAATGGGAATCAAAGGTTCATGTGGTGAAGGTAGCTCCCTGCAATGGCCTCCAACCTAATAGCGATGGCCTCCTACCTACTAGCGATGGCCTCCTACCTAATAGCAATGGTCTCCAACCTAATAGCGATGGCCTCCAACCTAATTAATAGCGATGGCCTACTCGATGGCCTCCAACCTACCAGCTCCAAAGCAGGCCAGAGTCGATACTCTTCTGGGCCACAGTGCATGTAGCTTTTGGAGATATTGAAGGCACCAGACTTGTCCTTCCTGGATCTTCTCGCCCAACGAGTCGACTGAATCGACCAACGATGTTCCAACCATCAGTCACTTCAACGCGGCAAATAGCAGATTGCTACTTCAAACATTATCCCGTTTCCAGAGATCTTCTTTACAACTCCCCAGATTCCATCTGTTTCCAGCGCCGCACTCCGACCCCATCTTGGACTCATCCTTGAATCGCCAGTAATCATTGTTTAGCCACATTTGTAGGAGTGATGGTGCAATAAGCAAAACCGTACCTTAACCCACACCTGTCCCGCTCCAGCATAAACACCAGCCGAACCGGTCCTGTCTCCGAAGATCAACACGGCATAACCACCTGGACCGATCGCGGCTCCCATGGCTGGCCACGGATTGAATCTCGCCCAAATGCCTCAGAACCGGAGACTGCGATGCGTTCACCAGACATCCAAATGACATTGAGGAGCATGCCTCCATCTGTCTCACGAAGAAAACCATAGGGTACATCCAAGTCACGTGTTCGGAAAGGAAAATAAGTATAAACGGACCCATGCAAACGACTTGAGTGTTGCAGAACTTCTCTTCTCAACACTGGTGCTGTTTGATGGATGTTTGATGTGTTGTATCCAATTTGTTCATGTTCTTGTGTCTAGCACCAATCCAAAGTAGCATGGAGGCAGGCCTTCAAATCTTCAAATCTTCAAAGCTGCAATCGGATCCCTGGAATTTCTGGAAATAGCTTGGATGGATCCCTGGAGGATCCTGGAGACAGGCCCAAAGGAGCGACCTGCAACCCAATAGGCCTCCAACCTACTAGCCATGGCCTCCAACCAAACCGCGGTGCCCTTGTGTTGTTCTTTCTTCGATTCTTGTAACCGGGGCACCGCTATTGAGCATGACTGCATGATGGGGAGCGCTCCCCTTCCAAGCCAGAAAGGCAGATTCCGGAGATAAGGGGCCACTATAAGCGTTCTCGTAAATGTGGCCAGCCTCAGAGTAAGTCAGTGCCTTGCAAAGACTAAAAGCTTTTGTAGGTAACCTTGAACTTTCAGCTCTGACTCATACGTTTCAACAGGGGCGTCTTCTATAACTAACTTATCCTGTGAGTCAGGAACTGAAGGACCTGAGAGATGGCACCTAGGTGAATTTCCCACGGATTGAGGATTCATCTTTTGAGGCCAAGATCTAGAACTAGCTAGGGCCTCCCTTAAACATCGGCCACCGGTTTGACAGGTTCACACTTCCAGCTTTTCAGCAAATGCTTGAGGGATGCTAGAAAAACCTTTTGGGCTTGTCTCAGAAACTAGGGGAAACCTGCAGAATGATAGAAGGAACATGGAGCGAATCCCGATCCCCCTTGCTTGCGGAGTCTGACGCTCACACAACTTCCAAAGGCAAAGCAAACCCAAACCACTTGCATCCAGCCGTTTGTTTGATGTATGCTTTCGCAGTGTCCAATTCAAGCTGAAGGTCACCAAGAAAGAACAAGAAAGAGAACCTTGACAAAAACTCTTGCAGTGCAAATGGCATACTTAGTGTGTCCCCAGCACGAGGTGATTTCTTTGCCTTTGCTCCACATACAATCAGCTTTTGCATGATCGGCAGTGTAGCAGCATCCAGCCCACCACTCAGGTTGTTGGTTGGACCAAGAATGCATGTTGCAGTTCGGGATTCTGGTATTCTCACTCAAGTCCTTCACATGTGCAAAGGACACAGCCATCAAGGCTGGAGAGATCTCAATGCGTTGCAAGCCCTTCTGATGTCGATATTCATTGACCAAATCCAAGAGTTCCATGGAATCTAAGAAAACATCCATGTCATCCTTGGATTTGCTTGAGGAACCTGGAAAAAAAGAAAGGGGATTTAAGGGAAAATATCGATAATATAGGAACATAAACCATCACCTTAAGCCAAGCCAGGCATCGGTGTCAATGTCTTGAAATAAGTGAAGTGAGTCAGCATGAGCCTTCACGACCGGCAGCCTTGCCATTTGGATCATCAAAGGGCCCTTGGAAAAGGTTTTTTTTCGTCTTGGGCCTTTCACATGACTTGCCAGGCGCCGTTCCCGTGCTTTGCAGGCAAACATCGGCCACTTCGTGGCTTGCAGCAACAAGGTGTGAACATCGTGCTAAGCACAAGAACAGCAAACTCTGTTCCCACACGGCCAACTGCATCAAGATCGAATAAAACGTATGTGACCCGCCAACTGCCCGCATTGTTTGAGCAGTGGAGCCACGCTTGAGCCAAAGGATTTCAAAAACCTTCCACACATGGAGTACTCATGCCACAAGCTCTGTTCCCATCACACCTTCCCGCCCTCACCAGTTCACCAACTACAGCACACATACCAAAACATGAAATGCTTCTCGAGATTCTGCCGAATTCTCTTGTAGTGGTTGGTCCTTCAGCATGTTGGCAATGCTGTTCTGATTTGTATGAAACCAACGACGAAACAAAGAAACCATGTTCTCTTTGATGATGAAAAAAGATATGTTTCGCCTGCGAGCTGCAGGTGACAGGGTAGGTCAAGTATGAAACCCCCGCGTAACAAAGCGGTGCATCTTCCTGAGTGCCGCTCCTCGTGCCATGTTTCATCGCATGAAGCCTGCGCCAACGCTCCTCAGAACCTTAGAGCTTGGCACTTTGACCAATGTGATACACAGCCACGCTTCCATCTGGGCGAAGACCCACATGCGCCGTGGCACAGTTCGGTGTAAAGAAGACAACGCGTCGTCCCTGCATGACATTCTCATTCTCCTGGTCTTCCGCGGGGTCATCTTGGATCCCCAGAAGCGCTTTCAAGAGCAAATCAATCCTGAGTTTCACCGCGTGTTCCGCAAAAGAGAGAAAGAGAGAGAGAGAGAGACTCAAGAATTCTTCTCTTCATGCAGGCATAATACCACAAGTTAGACAAGGAAGAGAAGATTCAAAACACACACATAAATATAATATATATATATATTATATTTCTATATTCTATGTTTTAAAAAAAAAAAACGTAACTGATTAGTGTTTAGTCTTTAAATTGTTATTGTTAGTATTTGCTAGTGTTTCAGCCTTTGGAACCTCTGAGGCTCAAATGTCCATGGATCACCAGCACCACCCAGGCCGCAGACGCACCCGACGCACCCGGCGCACCAAGCTGTCGCAGCCATTGCACCAGACGCGCGCAGCGCTGGCGCGCCGCTGCGTCGCTCTCCCAAGTGCCTTGGTACCAGCCTCGATCACGGGCGCCTGGATTGGTGCACCGTGGTGAACGGCCGAGTTGGGTGGGTAGGGGAGCTGGGGAGTTGGAGCCGTTCCGCCTTTTGGGGTGTTGGGGGAGTTGGATGAAGGGACTGTGAGGGATGCCATCATGCGGTCCGCCAAAACCAGAGAGCCCAATCGAATATACCCCTGAAAAAGAAAAACATCCGTGGTCCGCAGCCTTGAAGAGCGCTGGTGTCAAAGTTGGGAACCTCTCTCTCAATCTCCAGCGCACTCATACATTCTCCAGGTCCTTCTCTCCGCCCTTCGCGCTCCAAATACACTCCACCCACCTCATAGAGCTCCGGATGCACCCGCACTTCCCAATCCCCCAACTTCAACTCCGCCGCCGTCTCCAAGGTGCGCCGAAAGGGTGACACGTACACCGTCCCCGTCGCGCTCGGCAGCCGCGCCCTCTGCGCCTCGCCGCGGCCCGTGGCCGTCAGCGGCGGATCGCTGCGCCGCTCGCGCAGCC